CCAATATCTCCGCTTGACAGACATCCCAATGCTCCACACTTCTACCAGCAGCAACAAGAAGAGATCCCATATGATTTCGGACAACAATACCAAGACCTGCCTGATTAGAAAGTTTCAAAGCTGCATCCACATTAAACTTTAGCCAACCTTGAGGGGGGGACACCATTGCTTAAAAGAAAGACAACCCTAAGGGTTAATTAATGTCGCATTGCTCAAGGCAATTGGTGAGCTGTAAAGGCTTCCGACAACAAAAGAAAGGACAGTAAGCGGCTATAAATAGAAGGTGGCCTATAAATTCTCTTCACATGTCTCATATCATTTCTGTCATCGCCATAACTGGTTAGATTGGCAACAGCACATCCTACCAGCCTGCAAGGTTGTTTGTCACACACAACACTATAAAGCACAGCAAGAGCTCCTCCAGGGAATTAGCCTTAGGCAACTAAATCCCCATTTATTGAAAATACTATGGACCTCCATCAGCTTGCCACATTGAGTAGTACAATGATCTAAGCTCTCCTCCACATTACATCCCCAAGGGCAAAGAGAAGTTTCAGCAAGTCCCCTTCGAAATAACCAACAATTTGTTGGTATAGCATTCCTCAGAAGTCTCCACCAGAAAAAATCCTCCCTAGGGTGCAGTTTAAGCTTCTTCATCCAGCTGAACTGATAGCTGCTCCCATCAAGCTTAGCACGATAAGCCATAGCAGTCAGAGTCATACTCATAGGGTGATGGATGAGCTCAGGACAATCCACCCCATTACCATTACAAGTGCTAATTCCCATAATTCGTTCAGCCATAATTCTACCAAAACTTTGCTCAATAACCTCCCCATTCCATTGCAAGGACTCATCCAGTAAGTCACGCACCTTCTTATTCTCCATCTCCAGAACATTTACATATGTTGGCCATCTTGCCAATTCACGGTCCAAGATCCAATGATCCATCATCACATCAATATTCTGTCCATCCCCTATCTTCCATCGCAGAATCAAACGGAGGGCCAGCGCACCCTGATGAATCACCTTCCAGGTGATAGACGTCTTACAAGCCTGAGCCTCCTTCTAGATGTCCATACCATACTTAGCATTAATCAACTTATGAAACAGGGAATCAACATTCTGCATTACTCCCCAAGCTAACCGAGCTCTAAGGGGACCCATCCAGGAGGATAGACCGTGAAATCCCTATCCCCCCTGCTCCCTTGGTTGGCATAACTCCTTCCACACTACATAGTGCATTCCACGACTATGAGCATTCTTCTGCCATAAAAACCGTCTTCCCAGCTTCTCAATAGAGTTAAGAACACAAGTAGGAACAGTCGTATGGGTCATCAGGTACATTGGAGTAATCAGCAGGGAAGTTCTGATCAAAAGAGCACGACCCGCCATTGAAAGGTGTTTCTTCCCCCACAGGTTAACCTTCTCATGAGCTCCCTTAATGATTTTAGCAAAATCATTCACAACCAGCCTCCTCATAACCAGGGGAAGACCAAGATACTCCATAGAATCCACCTTCCTGTACCCCATGAGTTTGGAGATTGCCCTCTTCTTCCAACTAGGACACCTATTATTAAAAAGAATGGAGGACTTAGCACAATTCACCTTCTGACCCGTCCAGTCACAATAGTCCTTTAAGAGGCTCACCACCTGAATAGCATTCCTTCTGTTAGCTTGAGCAAACACCACAATGTCATCGGCATACAACAAATGAGAAATCTTCTCAGCATTTCTAACAATGCTAACTCCCAACTGTCCCGCCTTCTGCTTGATTGCCTTAGACAACAATTCAGAGCAAATGATAAACAAGTAAGGTGACAAGGGGCATCCCTGTCTAAGGCCACTCCTTGCATCGATCCAATCAGTTCTGCTCCCATTGATCAGCACCGTAAATCTTGGCCGAGCAATGCATTGATTCTCCCACTGTACAAATTTATCAGAAAATCCTATAAGCACCATTACTCTTTATAAAGTATCCCACGACATACAATCATAGGCCTGCTCCATATCAACCTTGAGTGCCATCATCCCTTCCTTCTGAGCAGAGTACTGGAACTTCGACATGATCTCCTGTGCAATCAGTCCATGGGTAGAAATAGACCTCCCCGGTACAAATGCTCCCTATTCCTCACTAATAATTCCGCTCAGAACAGGTTTTATCCAATTGATGATGATCTTCGCAATCACCTTATAAAAGGATTGGCAAAGACTGATAGGTCTGAATTTAGAAGGCTGATTGGCGCTATCAGTCTTAGGAATTAATACCACCAGCGTATCTTTCCAACTCTCACACATAGAGTTAGTGTAAAAGAAGTGAAGTATAGCTCTATTGACATCAGTTTTAACAATCTCCCAGTAAAATTTAAATGAAAGAAGAGGTAATACCGTCAATGCCAGGAGCCCGATTGTTCCCCATGCTGAACACTGCTTGACGAATCTCCTACTCTGAGATCTCCTCCTCCAGCATAGCATTCATTTGTTCAGAAATCATATCCTCCCTCTAGAAACTGGGCCAATTGTCCATCCGAATCTGTCTTTCCCTCCACTTTAATCTGAAAAACTCCAAGAATTCCTGCTGAATAAGTTCCTGCTCCGTGATCTTCTCCCCACTTGAATTCTGGACTTCGACAATTCTGTTACCACGTCTTCTAGCCGTAGCAAAAGAATGAAAGAAGTGTGAATTAGCGTCCCCTTCCTCCAACCATTTGGTCTTTGCTCTCTGCCTCCAACAGGTCACCATTTGAGCCAGAGTTGAATTCAACTCCACAGCCAACTTATGCAATTCCAGATCCTGAGCTTCACTAAGACCCACATTAGAACTCTCCAGCATTTGGAGTTCCTGAATGCGGCCTTCAAGCAAATCCTTCAGCCCCCCAAGCTCCTTAAGACGATTACGGCTCCAGAAGAATAAAGCCCTGAGTGTTCTTTGACATTTTTGATTCAACACATCAGCTGGCAGCTCGTAGTCTTCCTTCCTCCAGTTTTTCCACTCCAATTTCCACGTAGCTGGGTAAGTCATCCAGATATCTTCAAAGCGAATCCATTTGCTTCTGGGCCTTGGGTTGCCAGGAGACAAATTCAATAACAAAGGACTGTGGTCCGATGCTATACACAGAAGATGCCTCACTGTGCCCAAAGGAGCCAGCCGCAAACCTTCAGTGTTCATAAGCACCCTGTCCAACCTTACCAAAATCTTGTTGTTGCCAATCTTGTTATTAGACCATGTGAATTTTGGCCCCAAATAGCCTAAATCATGCAAGTCGTTATCAACCAGGAACCCTGCCATCTCTTGCGCGCAAATTGAATATTTAAATCTCTTCCCTCCTTTCTTCTCACATTGGTCAAGGCAACAGTTAAAATCTCCCTCCACGATCACCGAGAATTCAGCATTAATACTGGCTCCAATGGTATCCCACAGAGTGCGCCTACCATGGTAGTCTTTGCAAGCATAAACAACAGCCACTATCCATTTCTGATCGTTAGGAAAAACCAAGATCCCAATCAAAACTTGGTCCATAACAGTAATCAACTCAAACCGAGTTACATCACTTCTCCATAAAGCCAGCAGACCTCCTGAGAGTCTCACAGCTGGAAAATGAACAAAATCCCACTCATTACCAATTAGCCTATCAACATTACTCCTGTTGACATCTTCCACCATAGTTTCCACCAGTCCAACAAAAACAACCTCATTATTTCTAATGAGGCTACGCAGGTAGTTTCCCGTTTGTTTCTTACAGGCTCCCCTGCAATTCCAGAACATAACAGCAGACATTAAAAAACAAAAGGGGAAGCGTCCCCGCCGCTAATGTCTTCACGATCATGGTCTCCCAACATCTCCTTTTTCCTTTTCCTAGGAAACTCCTCAATCGGTCCCAACTGAAACCTGTTAACCGATCTCATTCTAGCTGCAAATAGTAAAGGCTGTTTAAAATCCATCCTACTCTGCTTATGAGTGGGTTTCAGCTTGTTGTAAGGAGCTTGAATCTTATTCAATTTCACCTGTTTAGGAAGGTTCAAGTTTTGTTTATTCCCAACATTCTCCTTATTTCTTCCTTGTGTGCGCATACTCCTTCTCCGTCTAGGGGGAACCTGTATCTAGGGACCTATATGATCATCATCTCCCTGGACATTTTTCACAGAATTGACATTGCCTCCATTCACTTCTTGTAGAACCTCCACCCTCTTCCCTTTATCACTGCTAACAGCAGGTGTAGCCTTACTTCCCCCTCTGTTTTAATAACAGGTGCCACAATCTTCTTAGATTGAACCTGATCCGTCCTCCCAATACTTCCTAGCTGCTGATCTGAACTACCTTCCCCAGAACCAGCCTGCTTCATTTGCTCCCCTGTTCTTCTATTCCCACTATCTCCTTGTCCACCAGCTTTTGAAGGACACATCTCTCCCTCCGATGCCCCACTTTGCCACAGCCAAAGCACATAATTCCAATTCCCTCATACTCTACTTTCTGATAGAACTTCCCATTAAAACCGTTAGCCCAAATCCCTGCCTGGAGCTTGTTAGCCAAGTTCATCCTCACACACACCCGGGCATACTCTCTTCTACCCCAATTCCCTGTCTGCGCATCAATCCAAAGGGAAACTCCAATCTTCAAAGCAATCCTAGAAATGTTACATTCATCCCAATATTGTAGAGGGAGATTAGGTAACCTTATCCAAACCAGAGAGGAAAGACCTTCCATCGATGCCGGGGAGAAATTCGGCGTCCATCTGTCCAATCCAACAATATTACCTCCAATAAACCAAGGACCTCCACAAAGAACAGCATCCCTCGCTTCAACAGAGGTAAATACACAAACAAAGCAATCATATCCCAGCGTAGTAAGCTGGAATTCTCCGAACCTTCCCCACTGCCTTTGAATTTAAGACTTCAACAAGAAGAAGGAGGCTCTTCTACCCAATATTTTCCCCACTACCGCTCGTTTCAGCATTGCCACATTAGCCATAGTAGCCTCCAGATTTAGATCAATGACAATCCAGTCAGCTGAAATCGCATTAAGCTCCTCTGGATGATGAATCGAAATGTGCTCCGGTCTCCTCCAGGCATTACTCCCGTCATTAGGGAACAACGGGCCTCTATTACTTGCAAACACCTTGTCTTTCCCCTGGACATTCCCCAAGCTTTCAGCAATGCTACTGGAAGCAACATTTCCACATTCACCATGAGTGCTGCTCTGCAGGATACCATCATCACAAGAACCAGTCTCAAGTCCATTGCCGCCAATCTTCTCGTCAAGAGAGAGAGGGAGAGGGAGAGAGCTAAAGAGAGAGAGTGAGAGAGAGAGGGAGAGGGAGAGAGAGCTGAAGAGAGAGAG